AATCAATATTATTTAAAAAATCAGAATATCTCGATTATATAATAGATATGATTTCAATAATCGAAATATCTCGATTATTTTTATAATCGTGATATCTCGATTATATATCTCGATTATGCCCATCACCAGTTTGGATGACCAACAGCGTCCTCCGAACAATATTTTGAAACGTGTATTATAAACGTGGCGCCCAATTTTGTGCGTGGGATACAATTAAGTTGCACTCATATGTACAGGTTTTGGACCAGCGTCGTCCATACAGTAAGATATTAATATATTGGGTAATTTGTTTTTAGAATTAACTACGTGTACGCTCGTTGTTATTCGTTTGCAATAATAGTATAAGCGCTATTATTATTATTGTCATTTCTATTTTCTACTGCGACCTTTAAAATAATATGTATATTGTGTTTTATTTATCNTTTAAAATAATATGTATATTGTGTTTTATTTATCATATTTAATTTGACAATTTTTTATACCTATAACTAGCGGTATTATATTTAAAGTCGCACCCCCACCACCAGCACCCACGAGCCATCACTGATTAATAATATTAACTATTTGTAATAAGCCAAAAAATAATCAGACAATACATTTTACTTCCCCTATCAATGAATGGTACATGAGCTGTCTCCCCCAAATGACGCTTCTGGTTTTTAGAATTCTGTTAGTAACAATTGCTGCAGAATCTAATGTACTTTGATAAAAACTCAAATTCAAATAAAAAGATTTGGTAGCTATGATTGTATATTTTGTGTTAGTCTTTTTGTAAGTGGCACGAAAAAACACAGCTAGTACAATTGCACCCCATTCACCCTTCGGACGTTTGCACCGCTACTGTTCTTCGAACGTAATTTTTATTGTGTCACTGTTTCTACTGGGGCTTGATTCTTAGAACATAAATAAATTAAAACACGTTTAATAAATTAATTTTTCGCAAAATATCAATGGTGGTGTATTTTTAAAAAATGGTATAAATTTGACTAATAAAAATAATTTGTTATTTTATTCACTTGATAAAACCTAATGATAAAAATTAGGTTTTAAAAATGATATAATATTTTTAATATTTCATCAAAAGCAGTTGCTCAACTACGAGGGTGCTAGGGGGTGCTGAAGCACCCACAACTTTATTTTAAGCACCCCCATGTTCCACGTCTTTGTAATTTCAAATATGTATAGTTTTAACAATGTATTTTTATTTTTAGCTTCGATGCGAAGCTGAGAAGGTATTAATTTTACTATGATGTGTTTTTTTATTTTTTTTTTTATTTTTTTATTTTTTTTTTTGTGTCTGTGAACGCTCAATCTCAGCTCTCGCTGGACCGATTTTGATGAAAAATATGTCAAAAGATCACAAATCGTATCTAGTTGAAGACATTACCCTCAAAAATTGAAAAAAATTCCCTCGTTCCTCGTAAACGGGGGAAATCCCCCAAAAAATTACAAATTTAAAAATCGCTAATTTTCGATATTTTTTCATTTTTTTTTACTTAAAATTGCCATAACTTTTTTAAAAATGACCGAATCAATATAATTTTTTTTTTTATAGATACCTTAGATATTTACCTATCATTTTATATATTTTTGTGAACATTTGACCCTTTAACAGCCCACAGGAAGGGGTTTCAAAATGGTAACTTTCATAGAAAACGGAAATCAAAGTTAAAGAAAAACGTACGATATCCGTGAAAAAATTCACGATTTTATATTTTATATTATTTAATTTATATAAAATATAACTTTTGGAAAAATGTATGGATCAATATTATTATTTTTAGCTTCGATGCGAAGCTGAGAAGGTATTAATTTTACTATATATTTTACATTTTAGCTTCGATGCGAAGCTGAGAAGGTATTAATTTTACTATGATGTGTTTTTTTATTTTTTTTTTGTGTGTCTGTGAATGCTCAATCTCAGCTCTCACTGAACCGATTTTGATGAACAATATGTCAAAAGATCACAAATCGTATCTAATTGAAGACATTACTCTCAAAAATTGAAAAAAAATCCCTCGTTCCCCGTAAACGGGGGAAATCCCCTAAAAAATTACAAATTTAAAAATTGCTAATTTTCGATATTTTTTCATTTTTTTTTACTTAAAATTGCCATAACTTTTTTAAAAATGATCGAATCAATATAATTTTTTTTTTATAGATACCTTAGATATTTACCTATCATTTTATATACTTTTTTTATAAATTTGACCCTTTCCCTGCCCACAGAAGGGGATTCAAAATGACAACTTTTTCACAAAAAATTAATTTTTTCAACATAACTTTTGAAAATGTTCCGGAAAGACTGACACTTTTATATATATCTTAAATTAAAGCTAATGTAATATAATTTAATCTGAAAAAAAAATTTGACCTCTGGACTTGTCTTCATGGTGAAAATGGCTACCGTATGCAAAAAAATGCTATTTTTTTGAAAAAATTCTTGATATCATATTTTACATTTTTTAACATTAGGATGCTATAACTTTTTAAAAAATGCATGAATCAATTCTATTTTTTAATAATAAATACTTTATATATACCTCTTTCATTCGATATACTTTTTTTTTAAATCTGACCTTTTCCCTTTATACAGGGGGGGTGCAAACCTTTTAAAATGCGTATAGAAAGTAGAACTTTTTCAACTTAACTTTTGAAAATGTTCCGGAAAGACTGACACTTTTATATATA